ATAAAAGTGCCATCCAATCAGATTGTTTTCAGGGGCGGATACAGGGGGGTGAACTGGGTGAACGTTCACCCCCCTTTTTCCTGGATAAATTGAATATAGAAATATTCATATCAAGGAAATAGGGAAATAATTGGTTGATATTTCGATAAACAACACTTTTCAAAAGGACTAACACTTTTTAGCGTCTCAGGCATCTAAGAACACACATGCATTCGCGGAGCTTTGGTTCGTTTGGCGGGAAAATTAAATATGTTAACTCTTAAAAAATCAAAAGTCACCCCCCTAAAAAAAATCCTGGATCCGCCCCTGTGTTTTGTCAACTTAAAGCTAAGAATGTCAAAGTGTCATGGTTGCAGTAGAATTAGGCCAAGTAGACTTCTTTGCATCTATTAAAAATTAGATGTCAATGTCCAGAATAAAAGAAGACCGAGTGAAAGTTAAAGTCCTTTTTTCTTTCTTTTGTTTTTTCATCACCTTAAATAAGCAAAAATTTCAAGAGTTTYATTGATTTTCAAGGTTTAGCAAAAAAAGAACAAGATTTACATGGAATTACCCATGAAGTACCTGAATACTGATGTACTAGTGGTCATCGCTGTAACGTTTTTGTGTATTTTTTTGCCTTCATTTCATGCAGACTGCAGATCACTGACCCAGAACACAAATCACAGAGCCTTATTAGGAGCTAAAAACATCACAAGCATTCACACCTGAGTGATATTCAATAAGAATCAAACAAAGGCAATTATAGGTGTTTAACATGCGGCTTTATTGTACACATTTGAATGAAGATTTTGAAGGAATTATTTGACATAATTTCACATGCGTAAAAAAAAGCATTACACTGAATTGTAAAAGAATACTCTAATGAAAAAAAAAAACAAAAAAAGTGGGAAATAGAAGAGATGAAAAGTTATGTAAACTTCTTAGAAGAGCACACACAAAAAAAATGATCACTATGGCTTTGAAATCTGAAAGTTTTGCTGGAATAAAGTATATGAATCGATATAAAATTAATCGGTGGATTAAAAAAAGATGAATTATGACTTATTAATACAATGGCTTTGGTAAAAAAGTGTACTCATTCATAACCAGCTTTAAATGGAATTTGGTCGTCAATAAAACAATCCCAAAAACTGATAGGATTTTGAGATTGCTATATTTAACTTTAAAAAAAAAATAAAAATAATATAAGCTTACATGAGCAAATTAACGATTTTCATATTCGCTCAAGGTGCCCGATGTGCTCTTTCGCGCGTAACGCGATCAACCAATCACAATATAGATTCTATCGTAGTTGTCAGTAATTCAACCAATCATAACAATTGTTATATTCTCAATTTGTGTGACGAGAAAACCCTGAGACGTCACGCTGAAATGTTTGATTCAAATTAGATCCTTGGTATGTAAACTTTATCTCCCTTCTCGGGCGATCAGCAACGTTTCCCGATGTAACTTCGACACAAWACAGTTCTGCTTTACTTTTTACCGCCTCTCAAGCTTTCTAGTAGACTTTAAGCACCGAGAAAGCACGCTTTTAGGAAACATATCTTGAATTACGATGKCTCTTCGACAATCATTTCGAACAAATCGCTCCAGATTCAAGCATGTTTTTGGAAGCCCGGCGAAGAAAGAGTTTTGCTACGAAGGTATTCGCATCACAGAGAAATCGTGGGAAAGCAATTTCTGTGCAGTGAATCCAAARTTTCTTGCTGTGGCATTGGAAGCACAAGGCGGAGGCCCGTTTCTTGTTCTACCTCTAGAAACCGTAAGTGYATTCATGAAATAGTACTCGAAATTTTGCGCCTTTCGACCACCGCGAATTTTGCTCTGGGAACCAAACTTGTTCCCCGGGGACGTTCAAAATATAGTAKTTAATTGCACGAAAAGTGAAGAAAAGCACTTAGTGGTTTAGTTTCTTTTGTCTTTGAATATTTGAGTAGATTATTAGAGCGTATTTCAATAAATTCTCATCGACAGAACATATGTGTTTATCACACAAATTTGTTTGTATGGTGTGATGTCGGTCCAACTTTGACTTTGCAAAACTTCAGTGTATTTTTTTAGCCCGTTATCAACAGTTCTGTCACAAAATAGTTTGTTTTTAGATCTGTCTTTCGGGGGAGTTTGTTTCGATTAAAATCAAAAACGTTTTGAAGGCGCGATTCAATGGGTAAAGAAAATCGCGATATAAGTTAATGTCTAACTTAGTTATATTTCGAGCGAATTCTTACATGCTATCGCCAAAACCATTCATGTGTGAAGAAGACGCTAAAAAATAAAGCAAAAATAAGCAGTTGTTTCAAACATTCCTTGATATTATAAAACTAATATCACTCCAGCAATTTAACGAAGMATTTCTGTTTATGTTATATTGTTTTGATGGACACTTATTGTGCATGTTCAAGGTTAGTGTGTACTTCAACATCTGCAAGATAGATTTCTWCGGCAGCACGGATATAAACAACATCGCGTCTCTACTTGTATTTTTGATCAAAATGTKTTGAAAATYWTTTTATGACAAAAGTATGCTAATATTAGCTCAAATTTTTTCAAGCGTTAAATCTTCTGGAATATTCATTTGATTTTACAACTTTATTAGAAAAAGCTCTTGATTTAGAGAAAGATAACTTAAATACAAACTTTCGAACCCAATTTTTATTGTTTCAAACTTAATATTAATKATTTTATTCATTTTTTAAATCTTATTGTGCATGAACTTGAATCAAAGTGCTATTTGTGACCACATATTGAGAGTGTTCTTGAAATGTGTCGAACAAGCTTTCAAAGTGTTCTAAGCTGCGACACGGCTTTAGCAAATTTTGAGACCTACTAATTTTGACTTCATGTACTGTTACGAAATGTTTATTGTGTGTGATCAATAATTCACAAATAATTCAATACAGCAAACTCTGCGGTAAGCCTACCAAGTTGAGCTATGATTTAGCGATTTTAGATGTTTTTTAGATTTTTTCGTTTATTTTTAATACCAAACAGAAATTCCAGACACTTGAAAAATTACAAGTTTCCATAGGCAAAACTTGTAAAAGATATTCCACTGTTAGCTCATAGACCAACTTTGAGAAAAAAGTTGTAATTTCATAACATTGCTTTCATATTTTTCTTCTTCGGTGATTGTATACATAAAAAAGTATTTATAATCTTTTCTCGCAGCATTTTTAGTGGATTCTAAAACACTTGTTTCTTTTGTGTTTAATTAAGCAGATATTTTTATCACTCCATTGTCAGAATTATTTCTTTCTGCTATCCTAAATTCCTTCGTGTTTGTATTTCAACACTTGGAATTTGAATGATTATTTTTGGACAAAGTTATTCTTGTAGRRACTCTGCATAACTAACACTTTGGCCTTGAAGAAGGTGGAAAATCGCTAAACACTCATTTTGCTAAGCATTTCCCTTCTATAAATGGTYTTTTTATATCAACCAAGGTCAAAGGTCTTGAACTACTCTAGTTGGAATTGTGTTCAAAAACAGTTTGCTTAGTTCTTGCGCGAATACACATCAATTTTATCAATTTAGCTGGTCAACAATATCAAAGCAAGGCTGTGTTTTGATTGCCAAAATGCTTGACCTATAATTTGACAGTTGCAGGTCTTTATTTAGAGAGATAACCAGCACTGTTAATCCTATAATGAGGCAGATAAAATTACCAAATATAAGAAGTTTTTATCCTTCGTACATAATATGTCTGGTTTTTCAGACATAGGTGGCCCTATTAGTATACACCTATTTCAAAAAACATTGAACGGCAATTGTCAAAGGGATATTGCATGACCGAAAGGCACTTTGGTTGCACTGCTTTGCATAGAAATGGAGAGTAAATTGAGTCAATGTTTACCACAGACTATCTTACAGTATGAATCAGTTGTTTATATCTCGTCAATGGGCAAAATCCATAGCTCTACTCTCAGTCATGCAATTGTCTTTCGATAATAAGGAATATCTTACACCGTATTATCCATTTATGCTTTATGAATAGAGATATTGTAAGATTCAGCATTAAAATCACGAAGTGGAAACAGATTTTTAATTGATATCATTATATATACGTGAAAAAATCTAAGGCACAACTGGATTGAATGCTGGCTTTGATTACACGTTCTGTGTTCAAAATACTTCTGAGTATTGGACTGAATATTTTTTGTATATCTATCACAGGTTGGTCGTATACCGACAGATTACCCAAAAGTCTGYGGTCATCACCGGCCAGTTCTAGACCTGCAATGGAACCCATTCGACGATAACATCTTAGTCTCAGCCTCGGAGGACACAACAATCAAAGTGTGGTTYATTCCAGATGGTGGCTTACATGAGGATTTAAAAGATTTTGTCGGAGACTTGCGTCAACATGAAAAAAAAGTTGGCATAGTAAGATGGCATCCTTGCGCCAGCAATATTCTTGCAAGTGCAGGATTCGACAATYTGGTGATTATATGGGATGCATTTCGTCAAGCTGCAATTTATATACTTAAAGGACACCCAGACACTATTCATTCATTGTGCTTTAATTGGAATGGAAGTAGGATCGCTACAACTTGCAAGGATAAGATGATTCGAGTTCTTGACCCTCGGGCAGGAAAGCAGATCTATAAGGGTCAAGGTCATCGGGGTCCAAAAGGAATGCAAGTTACATTTCTTGGGAATTCGAACAAATTGTTTACTACTGGTTTCTCTATTGGAAACCAGAGGGAGGTTGCTGTTTGGGATCTGGTAAGTGCAAGAACTTAAAAAAAGCTTTAAATTGTAAAATATAATGTTAAGCATTGGGATTTTCTATGCAGCCTTTTATGTGGTTCTTTTCTTGTCTTTAGAGTGGTTTTCATCGAACTGTGAAACAATTACTATTAGTCAGTGTTTAATAGTGTCTAATAGTTGTATTCTAGTAAAAGAAAGCAATGGGTTTAGAGTCTACTAGCCTCTATTAGCGTAGGAACTATTTCACAGTCCGATGAAAATCACTCTATGTTATCTAGTCCTTAGTAATAGGAATAGTTTTAGATATTGTTCATTAGATATTGATTGACTTGATTGATGTATTGATTAACTAGCTGATTAATTAATTGATGTATTGATTGATCTATCAATTGATTGACGAAATGATTGATTGATTGACTGATCTATCAGTTGATTGACTAAATGATTGATTGACTGACTGATCTATCATTTGATTGACTAAATGATTGATTGATTGACTGATCTATCAGTTGATTTTTTAACTAATCATTGATGGATTGATTGACTGATTGATCTATCAGTTGATTAACTAACTGATTGATGTATCGATATTTCAGTCTGAAGGACTAAGAAGACCACAAAAAATGGAACAGATAGATGAGTCATCAGGTCTTTTAATGCTTCACTATGACCCAGACACAAAGGTGGTTTATCTTGCTGGCAAGGTACGAAACATAATAAACTTTAACCTTTTAAATGACCCCAATACAGTTCATAGTATTAAAAGAAGTATATATATTCAGTTTTTGTTTTATGTTTTGTTTTTGTTTTGTTTTTGTGGGACCCAATGCAAATTACAGTCAACTCTTGCTATTATGGACACCCTCGTCACCGGAATTTAACGGGAGCTACTTTCTTGCATTTCTTTCTATTTTTAACTCGGAGATTGCGTAGCAATCGTAGAGTTATTGGGATGGGACAGCTGTCACTCGCTCGCTCGCTCGCTCGTTTCTCCAGGCATTCAATATGTCAGTGAGACCGAGGAGTCTGTAATAGCGGAGTACAGTAAGGGAAAGTTGACTGTACATGTAGTTCTGATTATATTTCTTCCTTGAACATGAGAATGTTTACATGAAATCTTCTGGTATATATTGTGTTTTTCTTTAAATTTCATAAACTTTTGCTCTCTTTACAGGGTGACGGAAACATTAGGTTTTATGAAATCATCGACGAAGATCCCTACATCGTCTTTTTAAATGAATACAGAAGCTCAACTCCTCAACGTGGTCTGGGTTCAATGCCTAAACGAGGCCTAGAGATTGAAAAGTGTGAAATAATGCGTTTCTACAAGCTTCACAGTACAGGGTTGATTGARCCTGTCAGCATGATAGTTCCAAGGAGGGTAAGCCTAAAGTTTTCACTTTAAGGACTAGGACAACCAGTATTGCTGGGGACATTTGGGAGATTGGACAATGGTCAAACGGCAAACAGGGGGGTATTGGGGGATTGTAGAAGTACTTTCTCTAATTTGCCTGGATGAACAAGAAACAATGGTAAATAAAAATGATCACAATTTGGATTCCCTGATCCCAGCCAAACCAACATGAGCAATTGTGTAAGAAAGATAAATTTAACACCGTAAAAAAACTAGGTGAAATAGCGTACTGATGTTTCTGCAAAGATTAACATCCGAAACATCAGTAAGTTACATTTCACCTACTTTTTTACGATGTTAAATTTAATCTTTTTACACAACTGTTTCTATTAGAAACACCGACGCCGCTCACACTAGTTTTCAGAGGTAGTTCCCACCATTTCAACATGACCAATGATGATGATGAGAATTAAGTTCAGTCTCAACCATTCTACTGTGATTATCCAAGCGAATTGGGGGAGAGGTCTATTTGCTCTTGTATATAATTATATCTCAATTGTCTGTTGTCAGGATTCTAGTGCATTCCAAGGTGATCTTTACCCCGATACGCTAGCCAACAGACCGGCTATGAGTGAGAGTGAATGGATAGAAGGTGTCACTAAAGAACCTCTTCTAGCAAAGCTTGTACCTCATGATCCCATTGAAGGGCCTATTGAGCCAGARAGAGARGAGAGAGTGGAGCATTCAAGGTAATGCAGAATGACAGAATCAATAAAACATATAATGAATATGTGAAAAATGATTTTGATAAGTACTGTAGTTGGAAATTAACATCTGGGAGTGAGCTATGCCAACAGTGAACTGTGATAATGTGCACAGGCAGCCTAACATTTAACAGACTTCAAAAACTCATACATAATTAATGACCTAATAGGCCAATTGGAACAGCCTGTTTGATCACATGCATGAACCTTTATATCTGATTTACAAAACAATTGTATTATTTAGCATTCTAATTTTAGCAATTTTTTTCGTTTTTTCATAGTTACTGTTTGATCATTTATCCTGTTTGATTATGTATGCATCAAATGAATAATAAAGATTATTATTATTAAAAMCTTGTTGGTTRATTTGTTTAGGAGCTCAGAATTGCAACATCATAATGACGTTGGATATCATCAACAATCTAAGCATGGAATGGTTAATGGAGACAGAAGAGGACCTCCMTCTAAACCAACTAATGACTACAAAACCTGGGACCTAGAAACTGTAAGTATTCTCTTCTTATATTCAACTCAGTTAATTCTTTACTAATCAAAGTCTTACAAATTGTCCACACGATGTTAAATGTTTTTAATTCACAGTTTTTCTTATAATATTTTTTTGTCAGGATTGTGTAATAAATGTTTTTCTAAATGATTCATATGTTTAGCTGTTCATGTGCCAAATTCAAACTGTTTGGAACAGTGCAATCCACTGGCTAAGCATACATACGAGCATCATTAATTTATCATCAATATCATGTATCATAATACCATCTGGCTGCACACATTCTCGTACCCAGATCCTTCTCTGTTTCCCAACAGAAAATCAAAGACTCTGGTTGGAAACGAATGATTCTTTGATTTGATTGGTTCAAAAATTCCCTCATGACCCAGAACCAGAGCCTTCAATTTTCTGTTGGGAAACTGAGAAGGGTTTGGTTATGAGAATACACAGTCAATGAAGACATGATTAATCTTATATTCTCTACTTGCGCATACCCATAATACCTTCTGATTTTGGGGGTTAGTTATTGTTATTGAAATCATTTGTATTTGAATAACAATTAATTTTATTTGCATCACAAAACCTACCCCCCAAAATCAGAAGGTATTATGGGTCATGTGCAAGTAGAGAATTCCCATTAGTTGTTCAAGAACATTTGCACACCCTCTAATAAAATGTCCCTGAATGAAATATACATAATATTTTGTTATATAGTTGCGCATTGCTTATGCTGACCTACAAGAAGAAGTGTACTCTCTAAGAACAGAAGTACAACTAAGAGATAGGAAAATTGCAAATATGGAAAGTTACTACAAACAGAAATTTGGTTTCTAAGGTAACATTAAATCAATAATATTGCTGTAACTTTTGCCTAACTAAACACTAACAATGCAATTACTTGTTATCTTTCAAAATGCTATATATACACTGTACTTGTTTTTTTGTTTTTTTTTCATTCAGATTTTTATTCCTTGTTATGAGTACAGACTCTAAAAGCTCTAAAAGCTTAGTGTGCAGCACAAATACTAAATGAATACTAAATAAATACTGTTAAATAGTTATAYTGTCTAGCACTTTTCAGTAGTAAACTGTGCAAAGTGCAAAGCACACTTTTGGTGTTTGACAACTGTCTGGTGGAGAGCTTTATCCACCTTTTGTTCAACATCCAGCTCTTAGTACTAAGTGGTTCTT